GCTTGCTTTTCCACTGTCAATGCTGCTCTCTTTCTGGTGTCCCTGCACTGGAGGGCTGGGGCAAGCTCGGCACACGGATCCAGGAATTTGGCCTTTCACATCTGGAAGTTCTGCAACCTCTGCTCATCATCCCAAATCTGCATTATCATGTGATCCCATCACTCAGTGCTCGTTCCTTGGACTCAGAAGCACCTGTCCACTATGTGGAATTAATCTGTGAATGCCCCCAACAACATGACACTTTTATTCGCTGTCTCCATCATCCATTCCTTGTCCTCTGGCAACTCATCTTCATCACCAGATCACTGGTTGTAATGGTAGTTGTTGAAGTTCTGCAGATACAGGGGAATCATATTTCCTGAACTAGCAACAGACATGAGAATTGCACCAAACTGTGCAGAGTCCAGAGAGATAGCGAGGATAAAAAGCAGTGCATGAAACGGGGAAGTTTTAAAAAGGTACAAAAATGATGGGCTAGAATAAATATGATGGGGTGGAGAAAGTGGCACTGTGGGAACTTCACCCCCCAGTTTCCAGAAATCCCTGGTGAATTGCTGGTATCCTACAAAGCACTGCAAAAATCTCCCACAAGGCATTGCACCAGACTAGGATACCTACCCATGATGCACCACATCTTCTGTTGATGCAACAAGTTATTGTGAGGTGCTGTGCAGCATCAGTGCAAGCTGCCAAGTGCATGGGCTCAAGCGACATGCAGCTGCTGACTTTTGTAAGCTGACAGAATGTCAGACTACCACACTTTGTAGTGTAGACACAGCCATAGGGACATGCTTAACTTTAAGCATGACCGTAATCCTTTTGAAGTCTGGGATTACAGACATGCTAAAGTTAGCCAGAGGTTTAAGTACTTTGCTGAATCAGGGCCACGGAAAACTTAAACTGTGCAACCTACTGTAGTCAAGTCTTGATGTCTGTTACCTGCCACATAAGCCCTTCAGTTTTAAAAGTTGGTCACCCACCGACTCCTCCATACCCCGGATTGATTTGGCTGACTCATTCCCACCAGTCTGATGGAACCAGTTTAATGTCTTACGCACTGAGGTGGTGACTAGCTGCCTGATTTTCATGTGCAGGGTACCCCCGTTTCACACAAACTTCTTGTGGAGTTATAAGTGCACCTCTTAAAAGCAGGCCCTGGAGGTGTAAATTCTGTGGTGTTTGTATTAGGGCCTGTGAGGTTATTAAATATACTTAGCTGAGATGACTCTCTCATAAACCACATGTTCCTCAGCCTTTGGCAAACACAGCACTTATGATTATACTTACAATTAAAGACAAAACCCTACAAAGTGGTCATTTAAAACTCAGGTTTCATGACTGACTGCCGTCTGCATGGAGAGCACCTTTGCTTTGAATTAGTACAAGTCTCAAGAGGTTCTTTGGGTTGTGATGGACTGACATGAAAACTGGACAGCTCTCCTTTGCCTTGCTGGCTGAGACATAAGGAATTGACTTGCACTCGAGGAGCTGAAATAGTCACTGCATCTTTCAGCGAAAAAAATTCCTATTTCCCTCTCCTCTACTCAGCCATGGTTTCCCGCGAACTGGAAGGTTGGCTTGCACTTGGACTTTGCTCACAGGAGCACTACAAGCAAGCCCCGTTGTAGTCAGCGAACCACCTTGCTAACCAAAAATACAGGAGAAAAGATGCAGCATGGATCACGATACATTTATTTTTACAGGGAGGGAGTGAGACGAGGGGCTGTTTAGTTCTTTCTGACCTTACCTAAGTAAAGCCCCCTTCTGCCTATAATGGCCTGAACTGTAACGAAATGGCTACAGTGTGTACTGATGCCCTCTAGAGCAGTGGTCCCCAACGCGGTGCCCACGGGTGTCATGGCACCCGCCGGGCCATTTATGTGCGCCCGCCTAGTGCCCAGCAGGGGAGAGAAGCTGCGGGGACAGAGAACTCTGGGGCTGCGGGCACCGGTGTTCTCTGTCCTCGCAGCTTCTCTCTTCTGTCTGGATTCATATATTATGTAATATTAAATATGATGTTTTTTGTATTATTTAATGTACAAATACAAAATAAGCCTGGAAAAATTGTTGGCGCCCGCACACTCTTCTGAAAACATGTATGTGCTACTGGCCACAAAAAGGTTGGGGACCACTGCTCTAGAGGATAGAACTTGGTAACATCGATGGCCTTATTGGCTTCTTGCCAGCCTCCTAAGACCCATGTTTTACCTAGTTTACAGCTTCATCGTTTTCTTTTCTCTAAAAACAAATGCCCAGTAACAGTATGTGTTGGTTCTTGTGTTGCCCTTGATAGATGAATTGAAATTGGTTGTGTTAAGTTCTATGGCAAAAAAAAAGAAATCTGCAACTGCTCAGCTGTGTCCTCCGCCAGCAATCCCAGAAAGATGGGGGTGGCCTGCGGCCACCCCCGCTTTGAAAGCTTCTTAACGTGATAAACTTACTAGGATTTGACAGTTAAATTAACACAACAGGCTATATGAAATATAAACGAATTAATAATCTCCAAGATATTTTTACTTTGGGTTTCCAGCCAACATGGGGCTATTTATAGTAGGTTCAATAATGTGTTTTAATTAGGGATGTACTGAACATGCTAGTAGGTTAATGTATTTTCAATGTCTTAAAAGACTGAGTTTTGGTTTAATTTTTTTTCCAGTGCAGCGTGGAGGCTTTGAGCCTAATTCCCATTTACATTGAGGCCCCCTTCATGCCACGCTGGTGGAGTGAAGTAAAGTTATGCTGACTATTATGTCCCCTTTGCACAGTGTGAATGAGAATGTGGCCCTTTGACTGTCTCACAGTCAAGCTGATTTTACCTTGGAGGCTGGTGGAATTTGGGCAGGCAGAATGTTTCTGTGGAAGAATGCTCAGGGGTGGATCTTACACCTACTTTTTGAGGTGTAGAAACAGCTCCACTCAGTGTGGCGGGTAAAGGGGTCATGCCCCAATCCAGTAACGTCTCCTTCTGGGCACTGAGAGTGTTAATGTTTCCCTTGCACTCAAGGAAAGCAAACAGAAGGATTCAGCCTACCCCTTTCATCCTCTGCCCTTCCCTTTGGCCCCACCAATACACAGCCCTTTCACAAGGGGCAATTACAGTCTATCCCCAGCCATGGTCCATCCCATCCTTTATAAAGCCATAGCCCCATGTCCTTGGATTTGACCGGCATTCTGTGCATCTCTTGACACAAGCTTTCTTCTGGACTTCTGCATTCACCATTGTTATTGTTTTCTCTACAAATGAAACCACGATTGTGTCCAAAATGGTAGGTAATATTAAAAGTTATTCTCTGCATAATAAAAATGACAGTAAGTAGCACATATTATTTTTAAAATGGAGCTGTGTTCTGTAAGGTGTATTATTCAAGGGATTTCTGCAGGCAAAGGACCCCCATGTTGTATTTTTTTCAGCAAGATGTGATCTGATACAGTGCATGGTGCTTCTGAATTTCATGCAATAGCTGGTTTGAAATGTTTTCCTGTCCTCCTCCCTCACAGCCCTCCCACAATACTCACTAAGCGGAAAAGAAATCCGTACTATTTGCAGTAAGATGGTGTCTAATATAGGCACTATCCCAGCCCTTCCTTGCAGCAGCCTTCCAGGTATCACTGATGCAGAACAAAGGGCATGTTATAATGTACAGTAGAACTCAGAGTTAAGTACACCAGAGTTATGAACTGACCGGTCAACTGCACACTTCATTTAGAACTGGAAGTATGCAATCAGGCAGCAGAAGAGACCAAAAAAAAAAAATGCAAATACAGTACGGTACAGTGTTAGCGTAAACTGCTAAAGAAAAGGGAAAGCAACATTTTTTTTTCTGCATAGTAAAGTTTCAAAACTTTATTAAGTCAATGTTCGGTTGTAAACTTTTGAAGAAAGAACCATAACATTTTGTTCGGAGTTACGAACATTCCAGAATTATGAACAACCCCCATTCCCGAGGTGTTCCTAATACTGAGGTTCTACTGTACCACAAACACTTGTGTAAATCACCTGGGCGAGTTGTTTCTGCTGGTAATTAAACTAACACTGGTTTACTGCTGATCTTGCAAAGGGTAAGGTGGGGTGAGATGAGGGATCAGCTGTGTCTCAGCCTCATTGGTTCAGAGTACTGCTGAAATGGGTCTGTTTCATTGTAATTTTGTTGTATTTAGCAAATATCTCAAGAAAATTCTGGTCTGCAGGGGGCCTGGTTCATTTTCTACCACCAGCACCTCCTCCTCATGTGCTGCTTCTACTGGTGGTGCTTCAAAATGTCAAAATCAGGTCCCAGCACGCAGTGTTCTGTACTGATCTTTGTCTCAGAGGCGTGGTCTGAGGTAGTCTGTAGCCAGTTGTAACAGGTTTCCGTACACACTAATGTGTCTCCTTGACAATTCTCCCACCACCTTTTATATTTACCTCTCCCCACATTCAGAAGAATTGAAGCACTTTTACAAGAGCTAGGGGAAAAGGTAAGTACAGGATGAGAAACAATGTATTTCCCTTTCCATTTTGTGATTAAAATAACCTAGAGGGAGCAGGGTCTGGTAGATAGGTCACTAGGCTGAGAGGCAGCAGATCCTAGGTTCAATTCGTGGCTCCGTGACTGACCTGCTCTGGGATCTTGGGTAAGTCACATCACATCTCAGTGCTCTAGTTTTCCCTTCTATAAAATGGGGCTAGTGATACTTAGCTCTCCTTTGTTAAAGTGCTTTGAGAAACATGGACCCAAATTAAAAGTGATGGATTTGACCCACATATTTTCCTAATAATTATCAAAAAAAAGCAAGGAAAGCATGTCTGGCTAATGAACTCAATACAAACCTTTCCCACAGTTCAAGGTGTGAGGACAATTAGCCCTGTTGTGTATGAAAATGTATCTTCCCTATATGCAGACAGGGTGATAAAAAATCCGCAGTCCTCAAGAATCACAGCAGACCTTGAAGTGGTCTGTTTAGTTTAAAGCATGAAATGTAAAAGAATTGAATGATAAACAAGGCTTTTGTTCTCCTAGGTCCTCCAGCTCCACCTCAAGATATTACCATACAGGCTGGGTCCACACCAGCTACTATACAGGTGTCCTGGAAACCACCAACCCTTACATCCACAGGGACCTCCAACGGAGCAAACGTTACTGGCTATGGTGTTTATGCAAAAGGCCAAAGGGTAAGCTTTCTTTTGCTTGTTACAGTGATCAGCAGCTAGAGATGTGCAGTTAGATTAACAGGAAAAGGCAGCAGTTCATGGTTGGCCGAGTTGTTCTGGGTTTCACTGCAGCTATTTTGTCACTTCATTATTTGCCTGGTTTGTAAGTTGGCTATGGCGTTCCTGTATGTAAACTCATCAGGAAGACATAGCTGTTCAGACAAGCCTAGCTGATGTGTTACAGCTGATTGGTGCGAATCGATACAGACCTGCAGTGCTGATTATTGCAGTCAACGGGCAACACTTTGCAAGAGCCTAGGAAGCCTTTCATGGTGGCAATGGGAGGAAATGTCTTTTCAGACTTTTAAGTTGCTTGTTTATGTGTTCAGGTGGCAGAGGTGATCTTTCCAACAGCAGAGAACACCTTCGTGGAGCTCATGAGAATACGGAACGTAGAAGCTAAGGAAGTTACCGTGAGAACACTTTCCGCACAAGGGGAATCTGTGGACTCTTGCGTTGCTGCCATTCCACCTGACCTATTGGTGCCTCCAATCCCTCACCCTCGGACTGCTCCCAAATCGAAGCCATTAGCAAGTGCCGGGGCCCCAGATACCAAAGATGAACATTTAGGTCCACGTTTAAAAATGGATGAGTCGTGGGAGCAGACTCGTTCAGCATCCCCCATTCATGGACACACATTGGAGCCTCCTACCCCCAACTTTCAAAGCCCGCTTCAAGGAAGGAGGTCTCCCTCGCCTAATCGAATACTCCCTCAGCCGCAAGGCACACCCGTCCCGAACACTGTTGCTAAAGCCATGGCGAGAGAAGCTGCCCAGCGGGTTGCAGAGAACAACAGGGTAAGGCAAGCTCTTTCTTACACCCTGTCATATAGAGCGGCTTGGTTGCAAATCATTTAGGAAAAAAGGGTTTTAAAAGGTAGATCACCTTTGATATTAAAGTTTCATTTATAAATACTTTATAAAGGGTTAATAACTGATTGATAAAAAGTTAATCCATTGTTGTAGAGTCCATTAGGTTTGTAGGTTATTTAAGAAAAACAAAAGCAAATATAGTACAGTACAGTGTTAAAAGTAAACTGCTAAAGAAAAGGGAAAGCAACATTTTTCTTCTGCATAGTAAAGTTTCAAAACGTTATTAAGTCAATGTTCAGTTGTAAACTTTTGAAGGAACAGCCATAATGTCTAATATGTCTAATAACTATGTCTAATAACAATCTTTAACTCTTTCTACTGGTGTGCTTACAAGCACCTAGAACATCATATCTGTACCGGGAATCTTCTGTGAATGAAATCTATTAAATCTAAAGCTTACATAAGTGATTAAACCTTTTATAAACCAGTTATAAATTCAACACTAATATAAACCGTGACCAGAATCTACTCCCAGATGTTTGAATGGATACTCTGACCATAAAGCAGAGAGATATTGTAATGTGCTGTCCTTTGACCTCTTGCTGATAACCCCAAAGATTCTTAAAAATGGAAATATATTTTTTAAAAAATCTGGTTTATTTTTGGCCAATTAGGTTAAACATTTAGCTCCCCACACGGTGTCACTTGGGCTTCTTACCACAGTTAAAGTCAATAACAAAATACTAAGCCTTCAGCCTCAAGGCTTGGGAACAGAGCCACCTGATCTGTAAGAAGAAAAATGTCTGTGAAAGTGTGACCAACAAAGAGCTGTTATACATTAAGCCCCTGGAGCTCGCTAATGCTGAGCTCTGGCAGCTCACTAGAGAGAGCAGGTTGCAGAGGTGCGAGCCCTTTAGTCACCGAAATCACTGTGTTGGTTGCAATTGCAGGCTCAAAGAGTTAAGCCCCAGGAACAGACATCAAGAGCAGTCTGGTTGAATATAGCATCTAAGAGGGAGAGTAGTAAGAGGTGACGTTTCATTCTAAAAGTATAAACACCCACGCACGTAGGGTTTGTTACATCGTCACTGACGCACCAGATGTGACTAGGTAGTGCAGAACATTGTGTTCCTGGGATGATTCATTGCATTCGATACCAGCTGAAGCTCTGTAACCCCAAAGGCTAGCAGATTTCTTTCACTAACCGGGCCCGGCCGATGTGGATCTCCATAAGCTGCTGTTACTTTTCTGGGCAGAATTTGGCCCTTATGCAATAGCATCCCTGACGTCAACATCTAACCCCCTCCCCCCAAAAAGGGCTGAATCAACGTGCTCAGCTCGATGACCAATGAACCATGCAAGCAAACCTTAGAGAGTGAGATGAGACTGGCACCCTGTAGCTGTTGCTTTCACCTTGCCCTCAAATTAATCTGCCTGGCAGTCTCAGGGCATTGCCCAGTGCAGATGAACTAGACAGTCTCAAAAATAAACCCACCAAAAAACATTCCTGAAAACATTTGATCATTTCCTATTTCCTACATGGGGCAATTTCCCAAGACCCCAGCTTTTAAAATGTCAGGTGATATTCATATTTAATTAATTTATTTTTCTATTAATATCCTTGCTTGAAATTCCTTGTGAACTAATTAAATTAAGTTATTAGCATATGGGTGTGCTCAGTCTAGGAATAGCTGTGCATGACTGTCAGGTTGTTCTTTATTTACCATCCAAACTTGTTCTTTATGATGGTTTCTTTGTTTTGATGAATACTGTTAATGATACAATGCTGAAGGGTCTTTGGGGCAATCTATGCCCACAAATGTATTAGGCAATTAAATAAGGCAGTTTCAGTGTTAAAGCAGTAATTAACAGCAGAAGGAGAGTAAAGTGAACCTATATCGTTTAGGGGGAAAGGGCATACATTTGTGGATGAGATTTCAAAAACTATGGGCAGTCAGTGAGGTGGAGAGAGCACACCTAGAGGCTGTTCTGCACAGCAGAGCTGCAAAGGAGAAGGCTGTCCCCCCAGCAGTGGTGCAAGGACAGACAGGAGGATGAGTGGAGTGATTGGGAAGAGGACAGAGAGAGACGTTCCCTGAGGTGGGATGGAACAGATATTATAGACCCCAGTTCTTCAAAGCACTTAAACATATGCTTACGTCCATCTCTGTTCAGCAAAGCATTGAGGGATGTTTCATAGAAGTCAAAAGATGAACTTGTGTCTATCGGAGAAAAGTTGAACAAATGCTTATTTTTCAGATTTTTAAAGGTTTCTTTAGGCACCTCAGGTACCTGAATATCTTTAAAATCTGGACCTAAATGCTTTCTTAAACAGGGCCCTAACAACTAAGAGGGGAATTTAAAACTGCACACTGAAATGGGTGAGCAAACTAAGGCTCTGCAAATGCTTATCCGTGGGCATAACTTGGCCCACCAGAATAAAGTCCTATAGACCTCAGTGGAGCTACTCAGGTCCATAAACGTAAGCATTTGTTTGCAGGATTGAGGCATAAGTCAACTTAGCCCATTGGTTCATATTAACACCAAATATTTTATTTTCTCTTATTTGACCCAGCACTGCAAAAACCTATTAATGGTATGTTCTCTGGATACCTCATGCAACAAAAGAGACCTTTGAACGCTACAAAATGAATGCAACACGAGAAAAGCCACCTGGGCCAATACACATTGATTAGCATCCTTTTTCTTGATTTGTTTGTCAAAACAAAAGTGCACAAACCGTATCTGATTGACAGCTGAGCTCAGCTCATGAGAATGAGATTCTGTCCTAAATTTAAATTCTTAAAGGTGTGGGAATGGGGGGGGGAGAAAACAAAACCATCAAACCCAGTTATATAATGACAAACAAGTTTGGATGTTAATTGCATTACAGCTGATCCTTCTAAAAAGCAAATGGCAAATCGGAAAGGATGACCTGGACACAAGGATATGTATTAGGGGAGCACAAGTGATTCTATTTTGGGTGGCTACTGGGATCAATGTAAGATAGATGGAGCAATAATGATTAGCTAGAGAATGACTGCAGTTTAAGGGAAGGGGGCTGAGAAACTTTTTTTAGTTTTTGCAAAATCACTGATCTACATTCCAAAACATGTTTAATTAGATTCACGTTTGGATTAGTAATTAGTAAATCTTCAAAGGTTCAATGCAGGAGACTATGCAAAAGTTCAGGGGCTAGATTCACTCTGGGGTAAGCCAGCTTCTGCCAGCAACACCTATGGTACATAGTCCTCAGTAGTGGAAATCCTCTTTGTACTGGGTGGCGGTGGTATAAGCCGCTGGAGCCCCCATGTATCTCTAACCAGAAAGCTGGATGGTATGGACTGAGGAAGGCTTGTGGTCAGCAGGATCTAGTGATTGAGGGTAAAATTCACCTTGATGCAGAGGATCAGCACAAGTGCTTACGCCTTCACAATAAGAAAGCTTTAGTGAGGTTTCGGTGGTGCACAGACATTGTGCTGGTCCTCTGCATAGGGGTGAATTTCCCCATCTGTGCATTGCCGAGGCAATTTCTGCCAATGGGACTCCTGTGGGATCCCCTGGAAGAGATTAAAAAAAGGATTTAATAGAAATTAAAAGAAGCCCCCCCTCTGTTCTCCCCGAGAGTGAGTGCCCTATGGGTGCAAAGTCCTGTGCTTTTCAGGAAAGTGGCACATGCAAAAGGAGAAATTGTTCTCCACTTAGTTCTAACACACACGAGTCGAGGCATTGACTAGTAATGACCACAGTTAAATTCAGCATCTTCAGGGGCAGAACTCTGGTTTTATGTCTTCTCTGAAAGCACGGTGCCTTCAACATCATGTTGAGACATTTGTTTCAGTAATGACTCAAGGAAAGAGCTCTATCTACTGCATCCCCCACACCATTTCCTGGAACATCTAGGTGTTCTTTAGAGATTACCCATCCAAGTACCCACCCAGCCTACACTCACTTAGCTTGTGAAATGTGATGGGATTCTAGCACAAGGAGGTACATGCCAGTGAGTGAGACCAGTGAAAGGGCTATGAGTTAAAGGAACCAGAAGTTTATCATTTGAGTTTAAGCCATGTGTATATTTAAATGTGCTCTTGAGTCTTAGAGGCAGCAGACCTGGAATCATTAACATCTCTTTGTTGGCTTGCTGGAAACAATGTAGGTGAAGGGGGGTGCCCGCTTTTCTTTACCATGTTGGTGTTTTGTCAGATGGAGAGAAGGAGTGTGTTTAGCGAAAGGAGTAATATGGCACATTATGCAAACTCAGATGAGGAGGAAGACGGCTACGATTCTCCCAGCATTAAAAGAAGAGGGGCTTCTGTCGACGATTTCTTAAAAGGCTCAGAGCTTGGAAAGCAGGTAATTAATGTGACCTCGTTATGGTAATAAGGAGAGATGCAGGTCTGCAATGTATTGAAAATATTTTATGACGCTCAACACATTAACCACAGCATTATCATTCTGCTGACTGTCAAACCGATACGCTCTATGGCTAAGCAGCCAGACTTGTACGGAGTTAGATGAATAGGCTTTTCTACTCCTACAGCATTATACTGCCTTCTAGAAGCTGAACGTCTTTTTAACTGTCTGGCCCTTTGCTCATTATAAAGGCTGGTATGTTATAAAGGCTGATATATGAATCTCTGTTTGTTACAACTAGCAACAACCTTAATAACTGAAAAAGAAGGTAAGTGGAGACATTTTTGAATCTGGGCTTTCTCTGCATTATGCTTTATTTTTACATCTATTAAGGTGCTATAAGACAAAAAAGGGCTTGGAATTTTTTGTGTCATTTAAAAGCCATGAAATGTCATCCTTACAAGCAAGGAGCTGGTTCGGTATGTCCCTGGCGTGCTGCAGGAGGGAGAAAGATGCTGTCAGAAGAATTTCCTAAACCTGGTCTTCAGCCTCACCTACTGAAAGCACTACAAGACCACTTAATTTTTTACTTTCAAGTGAGCTGAGCCCCCTATTACAGCAAAGTAAAAATAGGGTTGGAACTTTTTCTTAGCGTGTTACAATATCTTGTTGGCAGAATACTCCCAAGTTCTGATATTGGACATAATTAGAGATGTGTAGCCTTTTATTTTATTTTAAATGAATTTTGTACTGTGGTATTACACCACCTTGGGTTCGGCTCTGGTGACTACAGTTTCAAGCTCAACGGAATGAAAGTCACCTCTGCTACTTGCTTCAGATTTAGAATCTCTAGTAACAGATAAAGGCCAAGGATAGTGACCACACACACATTCACAAGTACAAGGTCTAGTCTGTTTTACAAGTTTTATTCATGTTACACAATTAAAGTCATGATTGCCCAAGGATATAGAAATTCTAGACAGACCTATGCACAAGTTACAAATGTGGTTATACTCGCATCTTCCTAGATAATGTTAGGGTGTGATGGGTCTCTCATGGGTTGATCATCAGTAGAGGGATGGTTCCTGCTGGAGTTTTCCCATAGGAAGTTCAGTTTTCCTAATCTGGGCACCCTCTTTTTATAATGTGATTCTGACTATACCTCATTAGCAGTTACGCACATCGTGCACCCTGTGGTTAGGGCATGTACAGAAAAATGTGACTACTGGCTATCTTGTAAGCAAAAAATTACTCTTAATGTTAATTTTTCACATCATCACCCATTCCCGTAATCTTGTGGCATAGGGTCATTCTTTGGTCACTTACTTAGGTCAAGCGTTTCTTAAGCCAATGGCCTAGTATTAGGGTTACCATACGTCCTCTTTTTCCCGGACATGTCCGGCTTTTCGGCAGTCAAACCCCCGTCCGGGGGGAATTGCCAAAAAGCCGAACATGTCCGGGAAAATGGCGGCTCTGTTTAAGAGCCGGGCTGATTGAACGCTACCGGCTTCGAGCAGCCCCCGTGCCTCCAGACCCTGCGCCGCCGGAGCCCGGGAGGGGAAGTGCCCGGCTGGGGGCGCAGGGTCTGGAGGCAGGGGGGCTGACCGAAGCCGGTAGCGCTCGGGCAGCCCGGCTCTTAAACAGAGCCGAAGAGTCGGGGAGGAGCAGAGCCGCGGGGGCTGGAGCCTCCAGCCGCCTGGGCTCTGTGTAACTGACACTGTGTCAGTTACACAGAGC